GCAGTAGCCAGTATGACAGGAGAAGCCATGCTCAGCTCAGGTCTTCCAAGCTGAAGGGATACCTGCACATAGAACATAGAAATCACCAGCAAAGGGGAAAGTAATGAGGAGAGGCTAGCACTTAAATGTATTCTTTTACAATATTCTAAAATTACCAAGAGAGAAACGCCAAGTTACTTACATAGGTTACCCCTTTAGACTAACATTGGATCTCTCAACTGAAACAATGCCGGCAAGGAAAGAATGGGAAGACATATTTAAAACTGAAAGAAAAACAATTTCAGCCAAGAGTACTATATCCATATACCCAGTAAGATTATCCTTCAGATGGGGAGGAGAAATAAAATCATTCCCAGATAAACAAATGCTGAAAGAATTCACGAAATGCCCGACCGGGGGTGGGGCGTGGCAGCAGATGTCATAGCAGTTACATCGCTGGACTCCCATATTTCTGACTGTGGTTAAAGTCCCAGACCTGGTTGTTTGAAACTAACACTGGGCACAAGATCCTGGGGAGAGACTGGAGGAGAAGGGATTGCAGCGTAGCCATCTCTCTGGAGGGTGGGGGGTGATTTCTCACTTTCCCTCTCACTGTCTCTGTTTCTCTCTCGGTTGAGTGCATATGGCCTAAGGCAAAAATCTCTCAAAAAAACTTAGAAATACTACACCTGGAACACTAAAGGGAGATAAATAAAAGTAAGAGAAATCAGGAAAAAAAGAGAGAAAGTAGCAACATGACAGAAAAGTCTACACACTTTGATAATAACATTAAATGACTTACTTTCATGGCGTCCTCTAAGGGCCTGGCTAGTTTCTGTCACCCGGTCGTGCTCCCCTCCGCAGGATCCATGCCTAGACTGCTGTTGCACTGCGTTCCTGTCGTCCCACTTTGGAAAACTCTGCCAGTGCAGCCACTGTGTTTAAAGGGCCGTGACAAGACGCCGTAATCCTGCTGCTTTCTGCCAGGGAGATCACTGAGGCAGAAGACAGGCAGCAGCGCGGGCTGTCTGTGTAGTAAGGGGACCAAGCAGGTCCCGTGTTCCGGTGTGACAAATATGCAAATTCACAATCCCGGTGGCGGCCCTCATGGGCCCTGTGCATACAGTAAACATGTACTGAGGTCACAGTGAACATTTCAGTCTCTCGACATGAGCTTTTTTTTTTACCATGAGGTTATTTAACCAGTAGCTCAGTTTGGTAAAAAATAGGATAACAGGGCCTGCAGGTGGTGTGGTGGCTGAGGTGCTGTACTCCCACATAGCCAGCCATGGTTCGATTCCTGGACCTGGTGGCTTGCTTTCTCACTTTCTCTCTCTCTCTCTTTCTCTCTCTTTCTCTCATCAAATTAAAATAATAATAATGATAAATAAAATTGAATGTTTTTTTAAAAAATAAGATAATAGCATTTCTGTTAACCTTTGCAGTAAAAAATTTTATAGCCTTCAATATCAAAAGCTTGAAATACTTCTCATAGTTTCAGTTCTCTGGTCTCCTAGGGTAGCATTTTAGAAAACGCAAATAGCCGTCATTTATCATGTGGCTTTTCCTTGCAGGTGTCACATCTACAGTAACAAGCAGAGCATAGGAACTGTTTTTCTTTTAAGATCCACAAATAGCTAACAAATCGGAATGAATACAAACAGCAGTACAAGAGGGATAACTGTCCCCGGGAGCGCGCCCACTCTTTCATTGATCCTACCTGGCACTAACATCTGGTCTGAACAGACGGTTTCCTGCTTTCTGTTGTATCCGTATGTTGTCCTATTAGTACAATCAGTAAATCCATCTTGGAAACACTTCGGGAAAAGCAAAAAGTGGGGAGCAGGTTCCACACATAGAGGGAGTGCTGGGCACCTGTGATGGTCAGACCAGTCTCAGGACAGAAAGCTCGAGGTCAGCCAGGCATGGCGGTGGGTGACCCTTCTGTGTACGTAATGTCCTAAGTGAGGTAATAGCAAAGTGTTCCTCAGTGAGTGTTCCCGAAGAAATGGGAATTCAGGACTGCTGGACTCAGAAGAGAAGGGAGGAGTTCATTTCTTCCCTCTCCAGTAGGTCGCTGAGATTGTTAGGCCTTTCCTGTGTGCAAAGTCCCGGTATCCTTAGTACCCTGCCTTTGCCGGCATTGCTAATAGCACTGTTTTGGTGATTCACGTCCTCGTTGCTATCGATGCTTTTCTACATACTCCGTTTCTTATTCACGACTTTCCCTGACAGAGGTCAGCAGTGGTGGAGGTGCAGAGCCCGAGTGTCAGAGTCCAGTCAGACGGAGCTCCTCGCCTCCACCTGCTGGTGGCCGGTGTCACCACAGCGATGCTGTGGGGTCTAAGCACATCCAGCCAGCACTACCTGTTCAAATGATTTAGCAAATAGGTGATGACGTGTGTCTTGCGATAGTAAAATTGGACAAACCCAGTGGAGGGAGAGAGTAAGTGAGCTCAGTGTGGGCTGACGATGAACGTTGTTTGTTTGGGAAGAGAAAAATGACCTCTGACCACACGGATGTATCACAGAAATATACCCCGTGTGGGATTAATATCCATTCAGTTGAGAGTAGAATCCAATGACAGTGTGCACTTGGAACAGACGTGTATAGGAGGGCGTTTGTGTGCTTACTTGGGGAGCAGCCTATGGAATATCGCAGCATCTGCCTTCAGATCTGTAGATTGAGAAGTCCGTGTGTGTGTGTAGAGGTATGTTCTGTCCTTTTCTTATTCTGTGCATGTATATGGAATCACCCGGTTCAAAGGAGTTGAAACCAGTGAGATCGTTGTATGTGTGATTTTCCCGGACAGACAGAAAAGTGTGAACCACACAGAATTGTGACCACACGATTTTTCTTCTACTTTCGGTCCTCTAGGTTCAGGGTATGCACGCTGTCTCTCTGTGGAGTGTAAGAAACCTTGCTGGGCCCTAGATATCCTGGAGAAAGCCTACTGATTTCTCCAACAATAAAACTGTGAACAATTTTTTTATTGTCTTTTTCCAGATGCTCTCCTAATTCATGTTCTGATTGTTACTCTTAGGGTTAGAGTTATAGCAGCACCCATTATAAAAGATTAATGCTTATTTGTAGTGAATACACAATTCTCTTAGATTTTTAAACAAACTTTTTTATTATTGTGAGGCTTTTAGTCATTAACGAAAGTGTAAATCCCCATTTACATATTACCCCATTTTAATCATTCTCACCATTTATACCTCACTTTACATGCGTATTTGTTACCATTCCTCTAAAAAGATTACTTCTCCCAACTCATGTACTTTAATGATAGGGTGGGAGAAAAGCAAAAATGCTACGTCATGGCGAGGGAGTGCAATTCTGGATCATCGCACATTGTGTGTGGAAAGCCAAATTCTCAGAATAGGGGATTCTTGTGGGAGAGGGACGTAAATTTCAGAAAATATGAGTAATCCTCGGGCATATGACAAATAAGATAGCTGCTAACATTTTTTTTTTCATCCTCAAAGTAAAATACTATGTTGTAGAACTATATATTCTACAGTATAGCAGGTTGCTTAATCTATTACCTATAACACTGAGCCAGAGGAAGGACTTTTCAAATGGCTTTACTCAGAGGGTATGCGGCCCCTGCCCACCAGGAGGCGCTCTCCCTCGCTCTCCCTGGTATTCTGAGGGTTAACACTGAACTCCTGGAACATTAGGGCTTTACTAGGATGGACTGGGCAGAATGTACTCAATAAAGACAAAGAACCACTAAGCTACTCTCACCAGCAAGATGGGTTTCTGAAATACCGGTCCTGAACATGTTTCGGAAGCTCAGTCTAATACTCTCCTCCCCTAGGCCTTCTGATTTAAACCTTTCAGGTTATACCTGCCAAGTGGATGTTGCAGTTTTGAAGAACTGGACTCCAGAACAGTTTGTTCCAAACTAAAACTTCGGATTGTCCTTTATTTATTTCGTTATTATTGCAAGCTTTAAATACTATCTAAAACCCTTATTTTTAACTATAATCTTAGAAATAAAATTGTCTTTTTTTTATTTTTTCATTTTGCTTCTCCCAGTAAAAAGTCCAAAATCTGATTTAGGCAATTTGGCATTTTGCTAGCCAACATACATGGTTCTACCGATACTTAGAATGATAAAATGCATATTTGACAGCAAAAGTTATTTTCCTTTACTCTCAAAAATTCTCATTGAGAAAGTCCTTTTTTTCCCCCCCTTCTTTGATTTGGCTTCTAGGACCTTCCCCATAAAGAAGTGATACTAAAATACAGGTTTTCTAAATTCTGACTTTGTATAAGGGTGTTTTGCTCATAGAGCTTTTCTTCACAACCCAGGAATTAGGCCCAGGCTCTTTCCATCCTGCAACTCCGATGTCTCCGAAGGTCTTCTCTTGTTACTTTTAGCAAAAGTGTAAACAGCTTGTGGAGAGGACCACCATAGTCTAAAAGCCATGTCTCGGGAATGGCATGTGTCACTCACATTCAAATCCAACTCCTGCACCTGACAGCAAGGACAGTGGAGAGTAGAATCCCCACGATCAGGAGGAGGAAGGCAGCGTTGATGAGCAGAAGGCAGGCATGCCGTGTGCAGATCTGGAACCCGGTCCCTGACAAAGCGAGCCTGGCACTCTGAGAGGCCGCAGCAGAGGGGAGAGGAGTGGCAGGTGGAGGTGGAGGGCAAGGCCTAGCGGAGGCCCGGGAGGTACAGACAGGGCCTTGAGTGGCAGGTGGAGGGCGAGGCCTAGTGGAAGCCCGGGAGGTACAGACAGGGCCTTGAGTGGTAGGTGGAGGGCGAGGCCTAGCGGAGGCCCGGGAGGTACAGGCAGGGCCTTGAGTGGCAGGTGGAGGGCGAGGCCTAGCGGAGGCCCGGGAGGTACAGGCAGGGCCTTGAGTGGCAGATGGAGGGTGAAGCCAGGTGGAGGACGAGGCCTAGCGGAGGCCCAGGAGGTACAGGCAGGGCCTTGAGTGGTAGGTGGAGGGCGAGGCCTAGCGGAGGCCCAGGAGGTAAAGAAGGGTCTTTGGCTCTACCTTGCAGATGGTCCCTGGAACTGAGGCTGAGGCGGCTGGTGGAGCCCTGGTGTCAGCAGTCGAGGGGGCCCCAGTGGAAGCAGCAGAGGCAGAGAAGGCAGCTGTCCCTACTGAGGAAGGAGAAAGTTTGGAGGAGGCCAGAACTGAAACCGAAGCCATGGAGACTGTAGATAGTGACAGACCTCAACCAGAAGAGGCAGAAGCAGCAGCACCTCAGGTAAGCGACCTCCTGAAGGGTCGTCAGACCTGGGGTGCCAGTGAGAAACGCCGTGTCAGTGGGTCAGTGACCACTCTGCCGGGAACAGGTCTGTAGCCATTGTCCCTAATCCACCTGTCAATCGATGTAAATATGTGTGCAAATGTACACACACGGATATGTCTGTCTCCACACACACGCATGCGCGCACACACACACACACACATACACACACACACACGGCGACTTCAAAAGTTCCTGGAAATAGGGAATTAAAGTATGAGTTTATTTTGGTGGCAACAAAGGTAAAATCTATGGATAGTTTATCCATAATATTCATTTTCCATGAACTTCTTGAAGACCCCATATTCAGATTCTCGGAAAGAGAGTCCTGGCGTCTCCCCTTCTGGGCTGTGAGGTCCCACACAGGACCCAGGGCGTGGCTGACAGCCTCAGCACAGAAAGGGGACATGGACGCTATGGGACAAAGTGATGATGCTCAGGTGAGGCAGGGGGGGAACGGGAATACCAGGGGAACAGGGTCACGCAGAGGACTCTCACAAAGTCCCCAAGGTGGGACCCCGGCCCAGGGGCAGGCACGTGTGAGACTCAGTATTCAGGTGAAGCCACAGTGCCACTGTGACCGCTCCGTGGCTGCTCTTCCCATCTGCAGCCCCAAGGGCCCCCTCTGTGCGGCATTTTCAAAGGGAAATGGGCTGGTCAGTGCACCTGCTGTGGAGCCCGCCCGCCCGCTCTGCGCTGCATGGGAGCAGCGCGCACAGCAGCAAACCGCCTCGCCTTGACTACCAGAGCGCGGCCAGGTCCAAGGACCCAGAAATTACCCCCGAGGTTTGGTGCCCAGGAGAGATAGAAAGAGGCAGGTGGCAAAGCAGGAGGCCTAAAGGCTGAGAGCCAGCTGGGCGTGGGGACCGGAGGCAGTTAGTCCTGGGGGGAGGGGAGGGGACGCAGGTGGTCCCAAGGTGGCCCCCAAAGCCTCCTTCCCAATGTCTGCTCAGCCCCGTGTCTTGTGTCCCCAGGAGAAGGTCATCCCTTCTGTGGTGATAGAGCCAGCCTCCAACCACGAAGGGGAGGGAGAACACGAAGGTGCAGAGCCCAAAGAAGCCCCCGAAGACGCAGCCCCTGCAAGCCCCGAGTCTGCGGAGCAGAAGCCGCCGGAGGACGCTGTGCTGGCGGCCTCTGCACCTGCTGGAGCCTCGGAGCAGCCAGCAGGAGCGGCCTCTCAGGAATGGCCTCCTGGCTTCCTCTACAAGGTCTAGTTTTTTTATTTTTAATCTCATGGTCATTTGTCTTGTCTTTGCTTTGAGTCCCTTTAACCAAACCATGGGTTTCTGATTTACCGTTTTCAATATATATTCCTTCTGACGTGCTTCCATTTCTGGCTAGTCTCCTGGGAGATAGCCGGATTTCCGTGCATATGGACAAGCAAGGATGGGTCGTTTTCTCCATGTTTTGACACAGAATACCTGACGGGCAGGTGGCCACAGGGAGGATGGTGGCCTGGGCATGTGTGGTAACCTGCCGCCTCGTGACCCTCCTGGGAGCATCTAACCCAATACTGTGCTCCCAGACTGGACCGTGCTCCCAGACTGGACTGTGCTCCTGGAACAGAGCCAAGGGAGGCCTTCCTCAAGTTTGGCCTTTGGACAGCACATGACAGGAGAAGGAAGCCAATATGTACCCAAAAATGAGCGAAACATTGATCAAGGGGCTTCAATGAAGAGGAAGAATAAATTCATAGGAGCGGGTTTTGCTCAGCAGGGTCACCAGAATCTTGGTAAACTGAGGGGTCTTCCCGAGCCAAGTATTAAAGGCAGCAGCACTTCCTAGGAGAATCTGTGGGGAACTTGAGTTCTACACTTCGATTTTGTACAAATCCAGCTCTTTTTCTTAGAAGGGGTTTTAAATAGGTGTGTCATCACGGGGGTGAGATTGAATAGTAGTCACTTCCTTTTCTCTCTTCTAGAAAGTGACTGCAGCCCTGCCACCTCAGATGGGGTAGGGTGGGTGGAGTAGGTTTGTGAATGAGTTAAAGTGGAAGAAAGTTAACCGTGCGGATGAGGGACCGCGTCCTCCATGTTGTATTGGAATGCGAGTATGAGAAGTCGAGGAAGCAGCGTGCCCAGCCAGGCTTCCTCCTGACGTAGCGTGACCTAGTGCCCATCATGCACCTCTCTCCCTGGGCCTCTGACTTCTCACCAGAGACGTTAGTAGGGGATGTCACCATCACTTCCAGCCCTGGCATTTACTGATTCCATATGCAGAATACATCTTTTTTTTTGGAGAGGTTTTTGCTATAGAGCACATGCGCTTGCCAGAAAGACAGGGATAGAGACAGACGAAAGAAATCATCCCCCAGGGGGATGGCCATGCCACAATCCCTTCTCCTCCATTCTTCTCTCAGGATCTTGGGCACACACGCACATGCACCCAGCGTGAGTTTAAGCCGCTGGGTCCTGGACTGGAACCACGGTCAACTACATGTGAATCCAGCAACACAGCCATTACGGCAACTGCTGGTCCCTCAGAATACACATTTTAAAGCAGGTGTAATCTTGGTAGGATTAGGAAAAGCACCTGTGAGAAATGAAACTGGCTATGACCACGTACTTGCTCAAGCTGGGTACCAGATGCGGAGGGATTCATTATAGTATTTTTTCAGCTTTAATTTTTTTTTATATTATTTTTGCTATAGGGCACATGCATTTGCTGGAGAGATAGAGATAGAGAGACAGAAAGGGAGAAATCAATCCCCCCACCAGGGGACGTGGCCACAATGCAATCCCTTCTCCTCCATTCTCCTCTCAGGATTTTGGGCATGCACACACATGCCTGTTGCAAGTTTAAGTCACTGACTGGTCTGGGACTCAAACCGTAGTTGACGGTGTGGGAGTCCAGCAACGTAACCATTATGCCATCTGCTGGTCCTCTGCTTTTGTTTTTCTTGAATTTCTATTCTAAAATTTTAAAGAAACCTTTTTTTAAAAGGGAGGGGGAAGCAGGTTACTGTGGTAAGATGGAGAGGGTAGGGAAATGAAGTCTATTTCCAAAAACAACCCACGTGTTTGATGCGGTAGTAACTCTCATATAACATGGTAGTGACGGTTTTCCTCATTAATTATGTCACAGATGTTGGGGTTAGAGGAGCTTTCTGTGGTACATTTTTAGTTTAAGCTGAACAATAAACAACTAATAAAGCATCCATGATAATAAAACACAAATCCCTACTGAAAATATGCTAAATTCCAAGTTAATTAACATAGTACTTTCAGGTATGGAAGAGGACATGCATTAGTAAACAGTGCAGATGGCCCCACACGACACAGCAATATTACGGAAATAGGCAATAGTATTCCTGTTGTTAGATGCCTTCTCCCTCTCTGAGATCTGATGCATAACTTCCTCCTTTTATCCTCGAAAATGCTTCCAAGAGTTTCACTTACAACCTGACTGGGAAACCCTGGTTTAACATCTCCTCTCCTTTCTAAGTTAACCAGTTCTTCTAAAAACCCTTCACAGGTGGAAACACTGCATGATTTTGAGGCAGCAAATTCGGATGAACTCACTTTACAAAGGGGCGATGTGGTGCTGGTGGTCCCCTCGGATTCAGAAGCCGACCAGGTAAGAGAGAAGATTAGAAGAGGCTTCAGGCCGCACTGATTGTCCCCAAGGGTCAGTTGTGTGCAGTGACTTCACAGATTTCTCTGTGTTCTGAGGTTTGCAAGCCCATCCTGAAAGGGCCTCAGGCCTTAGGACCATAGCACATTGTTAACTTGCCCTTTGGGTTGCTGCTGCTTTGTTTATTTCTTATCAAATGGATGAGCATTTCTTACCATTCAATCGCTCTCCAGGAATGTTGTTTACAGGAAATGCAGACACTATGCATTAAACTAAAACTCCCGTCTTTGAAAGTGGTTGCATCTGGGGGTGTGGAAAGAGACCTGTGGAAACTTCCTGGAGTGGGGAAAATTGCACTTTCTATCTTAGGGGCATGGTGATGTGTATACGAGTTTTTCAGAATTCACTGGACTGTACACCTAATGATCACACAATGTTTAACTTATACCTCAATTTAAAGAGATGCTTTAAAAAGAATCTCCTCCTAGCAGTGTGGTCTGATGGGAAGGTGCTGAGAACTTCCATTTTGTTCTTGCTCGCGGAGTTTTGAACTCCTGCGATGGCACACAGTGTTGTTGTCGAGTGCCGCTGAATGAACGACCGCCAAAGCCAGATTAAGTTTAAAGGGTGCCTTTATTAGCTGGCCAGTGACTACAGTCTGAGGCTTGGGGAGCGGGGTCGGGGGACCAAGAGTCAGAACTGCAGCCCTGGCTGAAGTCTGAGCAGTCTTTTTATAGGGGTCAGTTACCAGGGTTTTCTATGCAAGCAGTTACAGAAGCTGAATCAAGCAGGTTAATTATTTCTGAGGGGCGTGGGGTTTCCATGTAAGCAGTTCCATTGCTCAACCAAAGGGTTTCGAGCTAGTTAGCAAAGACTGCAGCAGGTACAGGATGTCCTCCCAGATACGGTTTTCTATATGGTTAGCACGAGCTGTTTTCTCATGTGAAGAGCAAGCCGGGTTACAGAAGCAGACAGCCATGTTAGGGTAAGGGAACAAAATGGACGAACAGTTGTTCATGTGCAGGATCTAATAGGCGGCCTTCCTCAGCATGTGTAAATCTGTGTATGAACATGTTTTTCTAAAGAAAAGAGCTGTAACTGCCACACTGTTCTCAGAGGGATTCATGAGTGACACGAAATTTTATTCCTCTAAAAAATTAAGTTAAGCATTACATCTTCTGAGTTTTAGACTTAAATTTTCAACACTGTGTTCATTCTTTTGATAAGACACCATGATAGAGCAGGTGCTGGTTCTAATAGCAAAAAGAGTCTCCACCATGGCAAAGTCAGATCAAAATCTTAAAAGCCCCAAATAGTTAAAAGTTTGAAAATGCACTTCTAAGTAATTTAGGAGTCAAATTAATGTAAGTGAAAAAAAAGTATCCTATAGTGATTATCGAATCTAAGTTTTAAGCCTAAAATCAAAAGATGTCAAATTAATAGGACCAGCAGTTAGCATAATGGCTATGTCGCTGGACTCCCACATAGTTGACCATGGTTCGCGTCCCAGACCCGGTGGCTTAAACTCACGCCAGGCACGTGTGCGTGCATGCCCAAGATCCCAAGAGGAGAATGGAGGAGAAGGGGTTGCGGCGTAGCCATCCCCTCTGGGGGGTGATTTCTCGCTATCTGCTGTCTCTCTCTCTCTCTCTCTCTCTGTCTGGCGAGTGCATGCGCCCTATAGCAAAAACCTCTCCAAAAAAAAAAAAAAAAAAAGATGTCAAATTAAGTAGAATGTGCAGAGAGGAAGGAAATAATAAAATTAAATTCACATACAAATAGAATAAAAAGACATAGATAAAATGAATAAAGTGAAAAGTTGGTTTTTGAAAAGATTAATAAAATTGTTTTAACTTTATAATGATCTTCAAGAGAAAAGTGACAAAGCATTAATTACTATCAGGCAAAAGAGCAACATCTCTATGCATTTCAAAGATATTAAAAATCTCATTATATAAAATAGTTTTCTACTGGGCCCAGAAGGTTGCATGGCAGTAAAGATGCTGGATTCCCACATGGCCAACCACCATTCGAGCCCAGACCAGGCATCTTGGAAATCATGCTGAACACATCTGCACATGTGCCCAAAATCCCGGGAGAGGTTGGAGGAGAAAGGACTGGGATGTGGTCATCCCTCTAGGGGGTGATTTCTCATTTTCCCTGTCTCTTTATCTCTCTGCCTCTTTCCCCAGAGAGTACATAAGCCCTATGAAGAAAAAAATGAAAAGCAAAACCTAAAAAAAATTCTTTACTAACCATAAGTTATTTTTTTTTAAAGAAATAAGTGTGTTAAGACTGGTTTCTTATTTACCAACATGTTTACCATTTCCAGTATTTATTCATCTCCCTCTGAAATTTGAGTTTCCATCTGGTTTCATTTCTTTTTTGTTTGAGAAACATCCTTGGCAATTTCCGTAGTGTTGATTGCTAGCAGTAAGTCCTCTTTGCTTTTGTTTATTCGAAAATGTCTTTGTTATCTTCATTTTTAAAGATATTTTCACTAGAGAAAGGTCTGAATTAAGCTTTTTATTCTTCCAACTTTTAAGATGTTCTATTGTTTTCTTGTCTCTACTGTTTATAATTAGAAATTAGCTGTCATTTGTTTAATCTTGTTTCTCCCTATGCAGCGTGACTTTCCTTGACTACTTTTAAGAATTTCTCTGTATTTCGGTTTTTCATCAGGTTGATAAAAATGTGCTTTGGGATTTTTTTTATGTGTGATTTTTATACTTAGGATTCACTGAGATTCTTAGACTCAACCTATGTTTATTTCTATTCTAATTAGAAATTAGCTGTCATTTGTTTAATCTTGTTTCTCCCTATGCAGCGTGACTTTCCTTGACTACTTTTAAGAATTTCTCTGTATTTCGGTTTTTCATCAGGTTGATAAAAATGTGCTTTGGGATTTTTTTTATGTGTGATTTTTATACTTAGGATTCACTGAGATTCTTAGACTCAACCTATGTTTATTTCTATTCTTAGAAAGCTATTCACTGAGATTCTTAGACTCAACCTATGTCTATTACTATATTAGAAAGCTTCCAGCTACCATTTAAAACAAACTTTTTTTTCTGTCTCATTTTTTGTTTTTTTTTACTTCTCTCTTTCTGGGTTTCCAGTGATACATATGTTAGACTTCTTGATGTCTAGCGCTTTTTCTGTCTTTTTGTCAGTATTTCTTTCTCGCTAGTAGTCAGGTTGGATAAAACGTCGGTCTGTCTTGAGGTATTGCGATGCTTCTGCTACTTCAGATTTGTGGTTAGGCCCATCCAGTGGCGTTTTCGTTTCAGATATTATACTTACATTGTTCCATAGCTTCCATGTTGTTCTCTTATACCGTTTTTATTTACTTGCTAAGAGTTCTGAGGTATTATCTCATCAGCCCCACTTTCCAGTTTATATATGTAAAGATATGTCTAATAGCAACTTTAAGTTTCTTATTGTTGGGACCAGTAGTTGGTGTAATGGCTGTGTCACCAGGCTCCCATGTAGTTGACCACGGTTCAAGTCCTGGACCCGGTGGCTTAAACTCACGCCGGGCGTGTGTGCACATGTGTGCCCAAGAGAATGGAGGAGAAGGGATTGCGGCGTGGCCATCCCCCTGGGGGGTGATTTCTTGCTTTCTGTCTCTCTGTCTTTATAGCAAGCACATGCACCCTATAGCAAAAACCTCTCCAAAAAAAAAAGCAGTTTCTTATTGTTAATTTCTAAAGCTAGGCCATCTCAGCTTTTTACCTTTGAATTATATTTTTTCTTTATTTCCTCATGTCTAGTCATTTTTTATTGATTTTTCGATACTGTATGTGTATAATGCAGTGTAGAAAGTCTGAATTCTGTTTTCTATTCCTGAAGAATGTTTATTTTTCTTCTCGAAGATATTTCAGTTACTGGATAATTATGTTGAATTCATGGCACTTCGTTTCACTTTGTTAGGGTGGGTTTGCTTTACTTTTGTCTTAAGCCTTAGTTTAAATTCTTAATCCCAGGACATTGTCTCTACCTTACCTCTAAGACAGGGCCATTCAGGATTTCAGTAGAAAGCCCAAGTTAGGGGGGCCAGCAGATGGCATAGTGGTTACGTCACTGGACTCCCATGTGGTCGACCACAGTTTGAGTTCCAGACTCGTTGGCTTGAAAGTCATACCAGACATGTGTGTGTGCATGCCCAGGATCCAGGAGGAGAGTGAAGGAGAAGGGATTGTGGTGTGGCATCCCCCCTGGGGTGCGATTTCTCACTTTCCCTCATCCTGCCTCTCTCTCTCTCTCTCTCTCTCTCTGATGAGAGCACAAATCCAATAGCAAAAACCTCTTAAAAATAAAATAAAAAAAGAAAACTCAAGTTATGTAGGCCACTTGGCCCCTGCAAACTTCATATGAGTCAAACTCTCAACACCCCCCAACACACACATTGTCAGTACTTAGATGCCCATGTAGCTTTGCATCTTTCCTGGTGTTGTTTCTGCCGGGTTCTTTTTTTTTTTTTTAAGTATTTTTTAATTTCATTTATTATCATTATTATCATTTGTTTAATTTGACCATAGAGAGACAGACAGAGAGAAAGGGAAAGTAGGAAAGCAAGTCTCCAGGTCCAGGCCTTGAACTGTGGTTAGTCATGTGGGAGTCCTGTGCCCTAACTACCACGCCACCTGCTGGCCCCTCTGCCCTGTTCTTGACACAGCTTTGGAGTCAGCCTGGGACTTCAGAGAAGTTGCTCTGCATATTTGAGGATCTCTCTGTTGTTTTCTCCTTTTCAGGATATTCCTCCATAAATGTTCTAAACTGTATCCTCCGAGTGCCTGATCACTCACTCGGGCTGAGGCTCATTCTCTAGGGAAGATTGAATTAGCATAGATCTCATCAAGTACAGTTCCCACTCAC